TTTCCTCTTCCTCTGTCCTTCTACCGGCCTACCTATTTACCTCTATCCCCCTCTCCTCACTTTCTCCTGTTTCCATTACCCCCTCTCCGCCCTCCTTTCCAATCTACCCGCCTGCCTACCAACCTCCACTTTCCTCTCCCTTCCTTTTCCTACCTTCACCATCCCTTCCTCTCTCCTACTTTCTACCTACCTACCAACCCTCACCCCTCCTCCTCCCCCTCTTCCTTCCTTCCTTCCCCAACCCTTAAAACTCTCAACTCATTCGTGTACAAAGAGGAGAAGGGGGGGTGGAGAGAGCCGAGTTTCTGTGAATCAGGCACCAGCTAAAAACTTTTAAGCAGGCACGGGGTGGGGTTTGTAAATACGCTCGTCTACCCCCTGAATAAACATGCCTCGAGAAGTGCTCAAATATCTTATTAGAATATACAAGCTTTAAGAGAAAGTTTATGATGGCGAATAAGAAATAGGCAAGACGCATTATTTATATAAAAAGGAAATGGTAGTAGTGATGAAGGTCTTTACACTAATGCTAATTTTACTAATAATGCAACAATAATACTATTAATAACAATTATTACTGTTCTTATGATTTTTATCATTATCATCATCACCATGACGACGACGACAACGATGATGCCGATAACGATAATGATGAAAATTATAATAATGATGATTGCGGAGATAATGACATGATGGCAAAAACATTATCCCAATATCAACACTTACAGAGAATATGAAAGGATGGAAAATAGAAAACATAATGAAAGACCTCAAAATGAAAAATATTTACACTTATGCGCAAAGCGGAACACTGTTTCACACTCAAAACTAACTTTTCAAAACCAGCTCAGCGTGAGAGAAAACGGCTAAATCTTAAAAGCCAAGCGGAATAGCAGAATCTACCAGAGCTGACCGTTCCGACAACTTCGCCAACAAGCGGAATCCATGTTTCTCTGCACTGACCAATCACGACGCACTCCTCGAGCGCCAATCAGGACACAACTTTTCCATTACTGATCTCCCCAAAGAGAACAAACAAACGGACGTCGCTTCAGCCTGGCCGCCGCGACAATGGCACGGAGACGAACCGTGCTGATGAAGTGAGTCAACCACCACACAGAATGCAGCATTAATAATGGAAGAAAAGACTGTGCATTTCAATACGTGTCAGCATGATATTTCTGTCCCGCGAGCTTATGCATACACAGCAGTGTTTACAAGTCCAATGATATTCCCTGAAAAAGTGAGGGAAGGAAAGCTGCATGACGTGAAAAATGCACTCGTCACATGTTCAGCGAAGACGAAATGAGAAAAGGGAGACCCAAATGAAAATGGATTTCTGAAAAGAAACTCATCTCTCGTAACAAAGCAAAATTTCTTTACATGGTAAAAAATAAAGAATAAAAAACTACGTTATGGCTATAAATAGACGGCTGCTGATGGATGTCCAGACGGACTGATAGCGATACAGACTAACTAACAGATAGATTCGCAGGTGATCATATACTTGTCTGAATGAATTAAGAAATATAAAGACAGA